AAGAGCGGAGGGGAGGGAGCTGCTATCAGAAGAACTTGACGCCTCGGCCATCGTCCAGCGTGATAATTTCAGCCTTGTGCTCTTGCTGCAAGGCTTGCAGGGCACGGAGCAGCATAGTCTCATCTAAGCCGTGGAACTCTAGGGAAGGACAGAGATCCCCACCAACAGGAGAAAAAAGAAAAAAAAATCACATTAGGAAACAAACAGGCTTACAAAGTCCAGGGACTGGTGGCAGTGGGGCAGAGAGCTCTGAAGAGCACCTTTCAGACTCCAGCGCCATAACACTATGGCAAATGCAGAGTTACAGCCACACTGACAGACTCATCACTACATTGCTGCATCAGGAACAAAGCCTGAAGGTCAACAGACAGAAGGGAATGAGTCACAGCAGTCTCAAAGGCAGCGCAGAAGCTAGGCGTAAAACCAAAACACCCCACACCTCACGCCAGATGAAAAGCTGGGCACTAGGGAGGCTTGTGGAGCAGGGGGAGGTTTAAAATGCAAAGAGTGATAACAAAGGGAGATGTTCATCCAAAGTGTTAAAAAAAGCCTTCAGAGCGGCATTTGCCAGTGGTGATTGGTGTGAGCTTGCATAAACACTTTTAAAATATTTAATCTACAAAACTATAATCCAACAATCAACTGTTTACACGCTGAAATCAAGTGTGCTCTGAAAACCTGCTCTGGAACACGACACATGACATTACCTTCATTCTCTGTATCATCTCCACTGGCTAATTCATACAGCGTGAATACAGAGTTGGTCAAGCCATTCTTCGACACCTGGAAACATAAAAGTGATACAGCAAATCTCGTCCGTGTGATTTAACATCCTCAGCACGATCTCTCGTACATCTCAGTGCGAGCGAAATGGAATGTGGATAGCACTCGATGAGCAGCAATACCCTGGAAACGCTCTGGGGCACTGGAGAGTCAAGAAATGACACCTAAGGAAACTAAGACGGTTCCTTTCCCTGCCCCTCTGCTCTTTCTGCCCATGTGCTTTGCAACAAGGACTCGTGCCACACGAAGGCAACACAGCAACGCCGCTCTGTCCTCACTACGGAACAGGCAACTGCAGCGGGAGCGGACGACTGCAGCCATTGCTCAAACTGCACTTTACAGCAAGTAAAAAGCCGTTAACATCTCTACGCTTCTCTGCAACAGAGAGAAATGGAAGAAGAAAGGTAAAAGCAGTGAGGAAGCAAGAGAAAAAATACTAGTGGTCTTTTTCACAAATCACAGCCAACTCCACCTGTCCTCCCGGACACAGAAAGCCTGGTCTGTGGGGCGAGACAGCTTCTATGTTCTCACCCACTGATAGATGAGCTTTCCCCATTCTTCTGGTCTCCTCCACATGATCAGAAAACTGGTTTTGTTCTTATCTAACCATTCCAGGTTCCCTAAAATCAACAGGGAGAAGGTATTTAATCAGAGCACAAGTCTACAGTAACGATCAAACCTGCAGATTTCACGACACGTGCTAGACTAGCCATTCCCCCCCCCGGCCCCTGCCTCTCCCCGCCATGGGACCGCTCGCGCCAGCTTCCTAAATATCTCTACGTGTACAGGAATTACTTTCTCTTCCGAGCCCCCTCCTCCTCCTGCAGCTTGCTCTGCCCCTGGGAAGGCAGCG